CGTGGGGCCTGAACTCTGGGCTTGGGCGCTGTACCTCAGCTCTTCAGCTCAAGGCTAGCACTCTACCACTTGAGCCACAGCGCCACTTATGGCTTTTTTCTTATGTGGTGCTGAGGGCCTCGAGCATGCAAGGCAAGTGCTCTACCACTGAGCCACCTTCCCAGCCTCAGTAGATACTCTTTCATATACTTCCCTTAAGATTAAAGGAACAGAGCTGGAAAGATGGCTCAGTGCTAGACTGCTTGCCTAGCATGCATGAGGCCCTGACTTCAATTCCTCAGCACCACATAAACAGGAGAAGTCAGAAGTGGTGCTATGGCCCAAGTGGTAGAGCACTAGCCTTGAGTTGAGGGACAGTGCCCAGGCCCAGAGTTCAAGCCCCATAACTGACAATAATTAATTAAGTAATTAATTAAGAGAACAAAGTCCTTTTAGGGGAAATGAAGGGAAAATGAGGTACAGTCAGCATACAGCAAATACAGAAGATATTCCTCTATGTACTTCCCTTAAGATAAAGGGAACAAAGGTCATTTTAGAGAAAATGAAACAGGATAACTTAAGGAAACTGAGGCCTGGTGAAGACAACTCAGAAACATGGTATTTAGAAACTTAGAAATGCTATCTTTGCTTCAAAGAGAGACAACAGGATGCATTCATTCCTGAGGGATGCATTTAGGTATGCCTTCCTGAGAAAAATGCTTGCCTAAACTTAAGCTACTGGCCTCAAAATGCAGACTGCAGGGCGCCTTCTTGTCTCAAGGATAAGGATCTGTTTTATGGAAGGATACATTCTTACCTGAAAACTCAGAATAATGCCAAGTGTGGTTAGAGCAAAGACAAAGAACCCAACTTTGCATAACTTTGAAGCCAGACCCCTGCTTTTAACATATAAATACCCCCAACAGCCCAAGGAGCTGTGTGTCTCTCCCTTTGAGAGCACCCACACTCTATTAGAATGTGCCTCTGCTCTTCTGTTTGTGTTTGTCTGCTTTTTGTCTGTCTGCTTGCCTGCTAGTTTACTTAATAAAGCTCTGCCAAGTTTTCTTACTGTTGTGACTTGTCCAGAAATTCTCATTCTGCGATCGAAGTCAAGGACCCTAAGTGAAGAGTTCCTACGTTTAAAGGGAAACTTCACTAAATCTCACCTCCATCCAGTGACACTCTGGTGCCTAGGCTGGGTTTGACCCAGCCATGCCCAAGGCTTTGCTTCATGACCAGTTGAGAGCCTCTTCTCTGGAGTTCAAGTGTCTGCATCTATACCTGTTGAACTGGTCTTTCTCTCTCCCCCTGTGACTTGGGCCACAGCAAGTGAAGATCTATTTCAATTTGCCCAGAGGCCTTTTCCAGGCCAGCCTGGTGGCCAAGTCCAGGCAAGGGCCCAGCAGGGAGGAGCTGGCCTTCAGTGCCTCCTGTACACATGGCCAGGCTTTGGCTTATCAGGCTCAACACCTAGAAGGGAAATCCAGGCAACTCTGCTGCTGCCAACCTGACCTTTGTGTTGGCCTCCCTAAAGAGGAGAAAAAAGAAGTTACAACTCTAGTACTCTGTCCTGGGGGACCACTCCTCTGCCCTCTAGGACCGTTTCCTCCCTAGAGCACAAGACCACCAAACCTGCCAGTGCAGATGAAACTTGGACACCCCACCCCCGCCCCTCATTTTCTCCATAGCTAGAGAAGGGACTGCAGGAGTGGGCAAAGGGGAATAAGTTCATTAAGATCTTGAGGATGAAGGAAAGCAAAACTACACACATTGCTGCCCCATGTAGAGTCCAGGTCCAAAGTGCTCACATGCCTCATAACCAAGGAGCTTCATTCAACATTCCACAGCTCTTGTTGGGTTCTAGGAAGTAAGCTAGATGTCATTGCCATCTGCCCTTTAAGTCAGTGTCTTGCAATGCTACCTGAGACAAGCTCTTTTACCTCCCTTGGGTCTCTGACTCCCCATCTGTGAACAAGAGTTCTGGAGTGAGTGAGTGTGACACCTAGGGGGTATGGAGAAATGGCTTCCACAATGGAATACTCACTGTCAGGGCCTCAGGCATGCAAGGCAAGCGCTCTACCACTGAGCCACCTTCCCAGCCCCTGTCCTCTCTTCTTGAGGATACCTCCTGGAGTATTCATGGGCAGCTCCAATTTCCTCCCTCATAAGGAGGAAAACTAAGGAGGTGTGGAAAGATTGTAGCCAGCTGGTAAGTGTAATGTTTAAACACTAGATGTATATGCCAATCATGAAAAGACCAGTCATGAAAAGACTTTTTTAATTGTACAAAATAAGAGGTTCCACTATGGCATTTTCATACATGCATCTAACACATTGAATGGGTGTCCTTACGCAGACTTTCCTTCCTCTGAGGCTATCTGGTGAAGAAGAGGTAAAGGAATTACAATTCCCAGAGTACCTACCATAAATCTGTGGATCAGGTCCCCAAAGGCGCAGGCAGGCCACGCCCCTCTCCCCACAGCCAATCAGCCGTCTCCTCCCCCACTCCTTCCACTGGCTGAGGCTCTGTCGCCACCCCTCGCAGCGAGGCTGCGGGGTTTGAGACAGAATCCCCGGGATTTTCCCCGTCCCTCGCGGAGCAGCTGAGGGCCACGAGATTCATCCTAAGGCCAGAAAGCGCCCTGAGATTCGTCCGGCGTTCAAGGACAAGTCTGCTTTCAAACCAATTTTTTCCCGATGGGGAGACCCCCGCGGTCCAGGGAAGGGGAGCTCCTGTCCAAGGTCTCTAGCAGAAAGCAGAACCCGGAGTCAGTTTTCTCCGAGGAGGAGGAGGGCGCCCAGGTGCGCGCTGTGTGTCTGGGGGAGACAGTCCATGAGATCAGGGACCGAAGCCACCGCATTAAATCTGATAGTCTTTTTTTGGGGGGGGGTACGACTGCATTAGGGAGGCCTGCCTTTTGTGGAGGGACGGAAGAGGTCAACTGGCCAGACGTGCACCTGCTGGAACAGCCTGCTCTTAGACGCCCCGCGCCTCCCCACGTCTGACCGAAGCTCTTTCCCGCGCGCCCTACTTCGAGGTCCTTTAGAAGCCGGTCCTTCCGTTCGAGCCTCTCGGCGTTCTATTGGAAAGACTCGGAATTTGTGAAACCTTCTCTGGAATGAACTGCTCAGACTGACGGGGAGCAGTAAGAGCTACAACTGCGCGGGCGCAAAGGCAGCCAATCACAAAGGCGGAAGAGTCCACACGACAGCTGGGGGCGGAGTGTTTTTAGCCAATGAGTTGGAAGAGTGGGGAGGGCGGGTTTCCCCGCAGTAGCTGAGCGCTTTCCGAGTGGGAGGTGACTGAAGAGAAGGGGTGAAGGGTGGTTCAAAGGTTCATCTTGTCGCCACCATCCTGCGGGGCCGCGGAAGTGAAGCATCGGGAGGCGGGCCTAGGACCGGAAGC